GTATTGTTATATAATGGAATGTTTGCTAATAATTAATGAAATAAAGAGAGAAAGTGAATAAAAGTAAAAGAAGAGGGAATGAAAATACTTTAATTGTTCTTAATGATTTATAAAATACAATTGAAAAGAAATGTAAAAGATTTATAATGAAATTAATATCAGTTGTCAGGATGAATTGGAATAGAATAACCATTTTATTCATTATTGTTATATAATTTTTCTTTTTTTAGAATTTAGTGTGTATTTTTAAGGGAAAGTATCAAGCAGAATTCAGTTGATAAGAGTTATATGATATAAAATAGATATTAGAAATTGAATGTTATAATTGTATAATGTATAAATTAAATGTTTAATGATGGGAAACCTTGCTTTTCAATGCCTGGAAGGGGAGGCAATTGTTCTTTTTCTTTTCCCTTTTGGGATGATGGTGGAAAAAAATGTATGAAATTGTAAACAGGACAGGCAAAAGTACAAATATAATGACTAGAAAGTTATAGAAATTTAGAAAAAGATATGTAATTGAATTAGAAAGGAATGAGATAATAAATAAGGTTGAGGAAAGTTAGGAAAGGGAAAATTATTGAGAAATTGATAAATAGAGACAAGATATGAAATTGAATACAAAAATGAATATGTAACTGAGATTATATCTGTATGGAGATGTGATAACCTGGAATCATGCTGCTCTCAAAACAGATACTTTATTTGTATTATGTTTTGTGAAAACCCAAATAAAACTTTTATCAAAAAAAACCAAAGTAATTAATTTAAATTATTTAAAATTAAATAATTTAGTTAAAGAAATGGTATACAACAGTTTGGCTATCCAAAGCAAAGTAGTCAATTAGTTTGATCTTTCTTTGGTCTGAAGTCACACTGACCTTTTGTCAAAGACTGAAAGAAAATTGCTTCTAATCTAGAAAGATTAATTATTTATGATTTGTAACATGCAGGTTATAAAAGATGAACCAGACAGACTTATGTGACAAAATGTCACTTTTGTTTTCTCATTTTAATTATTCCAAATGCCTAAGTCTAGGCTTTTAACCCTATCTACTATCACTTTAATTAGACAACAATCTTGAGTAATCTTCCTTAGAAGAATGTTCCATTGAGCAAAAGTAAGACCTACTCCCTAGCCAAAAATCTATAGAACTGACTCAATAAAATCTAAAATTGCTTATTATCACAATTAAAATAAATGAGATTTGTTTCCAAAGTAATCTTGTGTTGGATAAGGAGTCTGCAAATTGTTTGCCCTAATCCTGTGACACACAGTTATTCCAAATGTATTGCACATGTTGGAAGAAATGCCCATCTGGGTTCAGTTCCAAGGGGGAAGAAAGACACTGGAAACATGGAGAATGCTTGGAAGGATCGTTTAATGTTAGACAGGACCACATGCTTTGAGGTCCTGGGCAAAAATGACCACATGGGTGAGTGAGAGAGAGATTTATACCCTCTGTTGGGCTTTGAACTTGCTTCCTGTTCCTGTGGCAAGTAATGTATACTGATTGATTGTCAGACTCCCATGGGGCCATGTAGGTATAACTTTGTAGGTTGTCTTGAGTCCCAGGCTTGGCTGAATCTTGCTGAGTGATGTAATGAAGGATCTTTGAGCAATTCTTTTTATGGCTTAATGGCTTTGTCCTGGTTTGGATTTTGAGTGAGGGCTAAACCTATCACCCTGGAGCTGAAGGTCTTTTGTGTTGTAGATAAGCTAGCCCAGCCTTTCTGGGGCTATTAACAAAGGTGGGGGCTGCTTTCCAAGAGCATGTATCTCCATGTTCTCATCCAGGGAGATATAATATTCTGCCTTTTTAATATTTCCTATAATATTTCATTCTTCTAGGAGAAGGGTGGGTACTTAACTTTCTGCACATGTGTTACTGGGGGGGAGGGTTCAAGTAAGTTTAATCATATATGTCAATTATGACATGGATCAGATGAAGGCCATATATTTTGCTCTCTATATGAGTGAGAGAAATCCACTTACCATGTCTGGTGTCTCAGCACTTGTATGTCAAATGAGAAAGAGACATGTGCAGTGAACCCAAAGCAAACTACACAGAGAATTATTTTTTGTTGGATTTGGTTCATTGGAGCAACATCAAGTGATGAGCTGAAGGTGGTGCTGTGCTGGAAAAAGTTATATTATATTTAGAATATCACAAAGTAGGATCTGCTTTAGGTTGAGTGAAGCGAATTGCCTTAATGTTATAAAAGGCAGTAAACTTAACAATTAGTCAATTTTATTTTTATAGTGTTTCTATTCTCGGTTAGAAGTAGTTGTGAAATTTTCTGATTCCAATAAAAGTTGTGTCTGGCCTTCAATAGTGCAATGTATTGAATTTCTGTTCTAAAGTCCTGAGCTTTCAGTTTTCATATCTATACTGCTAGCAACACATGATTTTATTTTATACTAGACAACCCGTGACCCCATTGGGTCATTGTTTCAGAGATATTTCCTTAACAGAATGCCTTCAACAATGACAGAACTTCTAATAGCAATAGCACTTAGACTTATATACCGTTTTATAGTGCTTTACAGCCCTCTCTAACCAGTTTACATTCAAAGACATACATGCCTTGAAAATAGCTCATATTAAATTATATAGTACAGTCAAACACCAGCATGGAAAATTTGTTATGTCATTTTGTGTTCTGTCATAAACTGTTTTATGATTATTTTTATGTCATAAAATGTTTTATAAAAGTTGCCAAATTTCAGTTCCGTCAGAGTCATGGATTCCAGATTTTGGATGCACTTTGCAAGTGAGCCTCCTCGAGCTACCTTGGTTCAAAAGTTGTTGCCCTGTGGTACACCATTTCACCTAATTAAAGGCTACAGAAAAAGTTTTAGTAGTACTTAGTACTTAGATAAATTCTTCCTCTGTATATTGTTTATTATAATTAACAGATATACACCTTGGCTTGGCAAAATGAGACAATTTCTAATGCTGTTGTACCACTTCCCAGCAGTGTTTTTTTCAGAAGTCTCATTTGCAGCCCTATTGATCCATAGGAGAAAAATATTCAAGATTAGAGGTGAGGGATACTTTTATCAGGATCCACAAAAAAGGATGTGCAAGATGTTGAGCCTCCAGAATTCTTCATTAGGCAAGACAATACAAAGAAAAAAAGAAAAAAAATGGATCTGATTTTTAAGCCAGTTAAATTCAAAGTCATTGCCAAAATGATTATTGTGAACTGAATGCAGAATATGAGATGTTAGTATATTAATTATGTTCAGTCTTCAAGAACAAAGGATATGATTGTTCCCTTTTCTAACTTTCAGGCCACAAAGTCAGTTCACGCAATTACAACTATGAATCATCAAGTCTTAATCAATCTAAATCAGAAGCAATCTGCATTCTGCTGAAAGCTACAGAAATTAGTTGTCTGTGGGAAATTTGACCTTTGAAAGACAGATCTTAATCTTGGTTTCATCACTTTCATGTCGTCATGGAGAAAATCTATCTACTGTTTGTGGTCTCCAGGAGTCAAAAAAAAATTTGATGGCACATAAATCTGCAGCATAAATTTGAAGATGCAGCACCCACATTTCCCAACTCTCCCCAAATTCCTTGCTATTCCTTGTAGAAACTAATTTCTAATGTTTAAGTCCACAAATTTATGTATTTACAAAACTCTATGTTAAAAGCCCTTTTTGTTGTTCAAATGTAATACATAAAAACTTTGGACCAGATATTTGGATGGCTTCCTTTCTCCTGATCTTCAAGAATTTGGTAATGACTTGGCTATTTTGTTATATTGTTTTCACTTTTTTTAAGAATTATTTGCCACCCAGAATTATGTATTTGAAATTGGCAGTGATATAAATTATATAAATAAATATATAAGTATGATGGGATTGGTATAACTGTCATCTGGATGAGCAAATTTTAAATTAGCAATAGCACTTAAACTTATATACCACTTCACAGTGCTTTACAGCCCTCTCTAAGTGGTTTACAGAGTCAGCTTATTGCCCCTACCAATCTGGGTCCTCATTTTACAGAACTCGAAAGAATGGAAGGCTAAGTCAACCTTGAGCCTATGAGAATCAAACTGCTGGCAATTGGCAAAATTAACCTGCAATACTGCATTCTAACCACAGTGCCACAATGTTGTTGTTTTTTCAATTTTGGTACACATAATTGTTTATACTATACTTGGCTTAAATTTTTACATAGTATATATTTGTTTAGATCCAAATTATTGATATGGGGAGTATTGCGTCACCCAGCATCTGGGTAATTGGAGAAGCTCATAAGCTGTGTAAATAAAATAATCAGTATTAATATCGTCTCCACTAGCTTTGTAAGAGCTGAGAACATAAAAAGCTGGAAGGATTTTTTTTTAATGTAATTTTTAGGAAAAGCCTACAAAACGTTGAACGACTTGAGAGAATGAGAGGTGGAGTAGAGTATAATAAACATGAATGTTCCAGATAACAGCATATTTCATTGTGGACTATTATTATAATAACTCTATATTATGTCACAACATGTATTGTTGCTTTATTTTTAATATGTTATGAACCACGGAGGCGCAGTGGATAGAGTGCGGTACTGCAGGCTACTTCTGCTGACTGTCGGCTGACTGCAATTTGTCAGTTCAAATCTCACCTGGCTCAAGGTTGACTCAGTCTTCCATCCTTCCGAGGTGGGTAAAATCAGGACCCAAATTGTTGGGGGCAATATGCTGACTCTGTAAACTGCTTAGAGAGGGCTGTAAAGCAGTATATAAGTCTGTGCTAGTGCTAGGTACTATGTGAATAAAAAAAATGGATGAGAATAACCCTATATGGTAAAATCACAAATCTCAGATCCTGAGCAAAAATGGAAATTTTGTTGAAGTATGTTGGGCTGGAGGTAGGGTAAGGGAAGCTATAATGTCTCCTCCCTAGATAGCTTCCCCTTTTTTTCTGCCCACAACAGTTTCCTGTTCTCCGTGAGAATCAAATTTAATCAGAAGCCTCAAACATGCAAAGAAACAGAACCACACTTCTCAAATTGTATCTGGCAGCATGGTTTCCCGAAATTTTGGAACAAGAAGATTCATCTGCATAAAGGGTAAGAGATACAATAGTCGATTTTAGTTCAAAAGGTAAGGAAAATTATTCGCTCCTGACCATTATAGTATCCATTATTATTATTGCCTTAATTGGAACTGTGACTTAAATATAATTAAATTAGTCATACTTCACTGGTGATTCAGAATCTACATTAGAATTTTGCATTGTTAAAAGATCTTGCTACCAGCTATAAAATAATATTCTGTAATGTAAGGAGCTGATGGAACCTTTTTTTCTTTTTTTTTTTGAGCTAGAATTCAAGCAGGCAGGTTGTCTTTCATCAATTTCTCTAAAGCAGCGGTGAGAAATTTTTCATGGTCATAGGTTTGAGACTGCAGTTGTAATCTATGTAGTTGTAGTCATGTGGCTTGGAGGCAGTTTTTCAATAGTTTAATTTGGTTTCTGTTAAATACTAAACTTGTTTTGAAGCTGCATGTAAGTTTCCATGTGTTCCATGTGTTCCATGTGTTTCCTTGTTCCACAGACAAGAGTGGGAAATGGAAGAAGCAACAAGCCAAATTTGAATGCTCTAAAAAAAATCTAGAAATCAGGATCTATCTTGATCAAACTTAAGGAAATCCTAGGGTATTGGAAAAAAAACTCAGAGGGAAGCAGTAGCAAGCTATTTCAAAGACCCAGGATTTCAGCCAAGCTCTAAGAGCAGGGTTGTCAAACTCACTTCGTCACGGCGGTGTCACGTGACGTATCGGGATTTTTTTCCCCTTCGCTAAACTGGGCATAGGCGTAGCCATTGTGTGATGCATCCTGGCCCGTGAGCCCGGAGTTTGACAGCCCTGTCTATGAGACTTGACTTTCCTGTTTAAAGTAAAAATGGGCCCAAATCACCCCACAATTTGCAGCTCGCTGTTCTGAAATCATTCCTGAGTTTTCATTTAAGACCACTGAAAATTTGACAAACAATTATTTCACACTTATATAGGATTGCTAGAATCTCAAATTCTTAGCCATTTTTAATTAAAAATATGTGTGCTTAATGCATGCAATGTATTTGTTTAAATTAGTTTCCTTTAATTTCAAATAGCACATACAAACATCACAGATATTCCAATTTAAGAGCAATAGAAAAATTGTTTAAGATTCCAATCAGAGATTTTTCCCAAGTCTCATTGTAGATGCCAGGGGTTGATTCTGGGATTGTCATCATGCAAGTCTTGTATTCTGATATTGATTTACAGTCCATAAAATCAGTCTCACCAAGTTGGAAGAAACCTCAGAGCTTAGGAAGGAGGAAGACACTGACAAAATATGTAACGTGTTGTTCCAAAGCAAACTTCCCTTTACCTGCGAACATGTTTCCGCCATAACTTCACAATGCATGTTTCATCATTTTGGTGTCCTCCTAATTAGTAATGGATACCTATGGAGGTCATCCACACTGCTCAGTGCTCAGAATCTGCCAAAATATTTCATCTACTATTTGAAGACCTCCAGTGAAGAGGAACCACCTTTTCACAGAACTGATTGACAGCTGCTACTATATTTCTGTTATCTAACCTGAATCTACTTGGTTGTAGTTTCAACCACCTGATTCAAAAGTTGATACAATATTCCAAGGCAGAATAGAATGGGCTGGTTACTTACTATGATCTGTACTCTGTTGTTCATAATGTACCATATACACTTTGTTTTTGACTCCATATATACTATGTTCTTGGTTCATGTTCAACTTGGACACCCAGCTCCTTTTTATATAATCTAAACCATAAACCATAATCCTTCAGCCTATATCTTTCCCTGTCTCCCAAAATCATTCCCCCATACTATTAAAGATGCAATATCATATTTATTACAGTTTGAAATGTAATTGAACAATTCTTAGCCTAAAACAGGTATAATTATTCCACATTTTTTTTAAAAAATAACAAAATATAGCATTATAGTTATTTGTCATAATAGTAATGGCTACTTAGAAGGACTATAAAGGTCTTGCAAAAGCCAGTTTGATGTAGTGGTTAAGGCATAAAAGCAGAAACCAGGAGACCATAAGTTCTAATTCTACCTTGGGCACAAAGCTAGCTGGCTGACCTTTGGCTATTTACTTGTTCTCAGCTCTAGGAAGCAGGCAATGGCAAATCACTTCTGAAAAGCCTTACCAAGAAAACTGCAGGGACTTGTCCAGGCAGCCCACAAGAATTAAACATGATTAAATGGAAGGGGGAAAAACATTTTGTATATGGCTGATGCTTTTGCCTTCTCATCCTTTATAAGTCTATTCCCATATCATCCCCATCACATACATACTCCTGGTTTTTATCTCCCTTTTTGCTCTATTCATTTCTGTTAAACAATTTAAACATGCATATTCATTCTCTTGTCATGGTACCAAGAAACAAAAATGCCTAATATTAAGGGAAAAGTCTAGGGATTTATTTCAATCATAGCCAGAATTTGTCAAGCTCTCAAAGGCTCTTGCAAAAAGAGTGATGTCGAAGGCTGGAATATGTGATGTTTAGGTTCTGCATTTTTCACACCTTGTATGGAGTATAGAATTACTTAAATACAGGCAGATTCTTTCTTAGGTTCATAGATTCATAGATATACAGGTAGTCCTCGTTTAACGGCCATTGTTCAGCAAACGTTCAAAATTACAATGGCACTGAACAAAGGGACTTACAACTTCTGCTGAAGTTCTGACCATTGCAGCACCTCCATGGTCATCTGATTGTTATATGGGTGTTTGGCAACCCCAATTTGGACACACAACTAGTTGCCAAGCAGCCCGTGGTCATTTGCAATCTTCCTGCTGGCTTCCTCAGAAAAATCAATAGGGAAGCTAACCCTGAAGGCTGCAAGCTGTTGGCACTTGCTAAGAGGACTCCTTGTGGTTTCTGGGGACTGGCCAAAAAAGGTCCTTCCTGAAATCAAAGCAGGATTTTGGCATGGAGCATTTGAAACACAGGGCATTTGCAACCAACCCCTCCCTCCCAAATCAGAGGGAGACTTCTAGTCTCTGGGACAGGCTCCAAACACCCTCTGCTGTGAACCGTCCATGCTGCAAACACCATGTGTAAAAATCCTGCTTGGATTTTGGATGGAGCTTTCCAGACAGCCCCTTTGAAAGCAAAAGGGTTGCCTGCTGGAGGGATTCAGCTCCACACATGACTGAATCCCTCTAGCAGGCAACTCTTTGGCTTCGTTCATTTAGCAACCCAAAAGATCACTTAACAATCTCAACCGGAATGACATCAAATGACATCTTGTTTAATGACTGCTTTGGTCAATGACTGAAGATTCAGATCTTAATTGTGGTCGTAAGTGAAAGACTACTCTGTATCAAGTGATATGCAATAATTTTCTAAGGATTACTAAGATGAGTAAACAAGAAAACAAGACCAGAATCTCAACTAAATTGACTAGTCAAGTTCTGAAGCTGCCCTATATTGACTTGACAAGACATTGTGTGAGGTGTATTGCTTTCCAGGTGTTCCAATTCAGAATGTGACTGACAGGCTACCAAGACTCTTCAATCCTATAGACTGTTTGGTTAGGTTGCCACAGATATAGGATATTTAGATTTCAGCAAAGCTTTTAACAAAGTTTTTCATGGCATCCTTATTTTAAAAAATGATAGCAATGTGGATTTGACAACTCAACTATTAGGTGGATTCACAATTGGCTCAAGGATTGTACTAAAAGGGTGGTTATAAATGGTATCAAATCTACCTGGAGAGGCATCTCAAACAAGGTGCTATAGTGTTCTTTCCTGGGTTCAGTATGGTTCATTGTTTTTGTAAATGATACGGATGTGAGGGAATGCTTACCAAATTTGCTGATGATACAAAGATAGGAGGATTGGTTAATAATTGGCATGACTGGAGGTGGGGGAACAATGAGCAGAAACAAATGTAATTAAAGAAATAGGTAGAAATATAAAAAAATGCATCTAGGTAAGATCAACAAAAGAAACATACAGAATAAAGAAATTCTTCTCAAGGTTGCACATATGAGAAAGATTTGGTTGCACTAATAGATCATAAATTCAACTTGTATCTAAGAATAGAATAGAGAATAGAATTCTTTATTGGCCAAGTATGATTGGACATACAAGGAATTTGTCTTGGTGCAAATGCTGTCGGTATACATAAAAGAAAAGATACATTTGTCAAGAGTCATGAATCATAAGGTACAACATTTAATAAAAGCCAAAGGGTACAATAAATCAAATCATACTAGGAAACAGTCAATATAAATCGTAAGGATACAAGCGACAAAGTTACAGTCATACAATCACAAGTGGGAGGGGATGGGTGATAAGGAGTGATGAGAAGGTTAATAGTAATAGTAGTGCAGACTTTGTAAATAGTTGGACAGTGTTGAGGGAATTGTTTAGCAGAGTGATGGCATTTGGGGAAAAAACTGTTCTTGTGTCTAGTTGTTCTGCTGTGCAGTGCTCTATAGCGTCGTTTTGAGGGAAGGAGTTGAAACAGTTTATGTCCGTGATGTGAGGGGTCTGTAAATATTTTCACAGCCCTGTTTTTGACTTGTGCAGTATACAGGTCCTCGATGGAAGGGAGGTTGGTTGTAATTGTTTTTTCTGCAGTCCTAATTATCCTCTGAAGTCTGTTTCTGTCCTGTTGGGTTGCAGATGGTAAACTCAATAATTCCTCTGTAGAACTGTATCAGCAGCTCCTTGGGCAGTTTGAGCTTTCTGAGTTGCTCTTTTTTGATGACGTCTTTGATGTTAGGTGTACATTTTAGGTCATGTGATATAGTAGAACCTAGAAATTTGAAGGTCTCTACTGTTGATACTGTGTTGTCTAATATTGTAAGAGGTGGTAGTATGGGAGGGCTTCTTCTAAAGTCTACCACCATTTCTACGGATTTGAGTGTGTTCAGTACCAGATTGTTCCGGTTGTACCACGAGGCAAGTTCTATAACCTCCTGTCTGTATGCAGATTCATCATTGTCTCAAATGAGACCAATCACTGCGTGTCATCTGCAAACTTTAGTATTTTAACAGATGGATCATTTGAGATGCAGTCATTGGTATATAGGAGAAGAGGAGTGGAGAAAGCACACAGCTTTGGGGGGGCTGTGCTAATTGTACAGGTATCAGATGTGATTCTGCCTAGTTTCACCTGGTGCTTACTATCTGTTCAGGTACCTCTAGCTGGTTTAATTTAGTTAGAAGAATGTCTGGAATGATGGTATTGAATGCTGAACTGAAGTCTACAAAGAGGACCCTTCCATAGGTATTTGGAGATTCAAGGTGTTGTGGGATGTAGTGCAGAGCCATATTAACAGCATCACCTGTCAATCTATTTGCTCAGTATGCAAACTGCATTGGATCTAACAGCGGATCCGTGATGGTTTTCAGGTGGGACAGTACAAGCCTTTCAAAGATTTTCATAACTACAGATGTTAGAGCAACTAGTCTGTAGTCATTCAATTGCTTGATGGAGGGCTTCTTTGGTACTGGGATGATAGTAGAGCATTTGAAGCAAGAAGGGACATAGCACAACTCTAATGATCTATTGAAGATTTGGGTGAAGATGGGGGCCACTTGGTCAGCACAGACTTTTAAGCAAGAAGGGTTATCTTGTCTGGCCCTGGTGCCTTTCCTGGCTTTTGTCTGTGAAACAGATCTTGCACTTCTTTTTCTGTGATCACCAGAGATTATGAACCCAATGGATTGGGGTAAGTTGTAGAAGGCTTAGCTGTTGTTAGTGTGCTTGAGATGGAGGTTGTGGAGATAGGTGGCTGTACTTTCCTTTCAAACCTACAGTAAAACACGTTCAGGTTATCTGCTAGTTGTTGGTATCCTCCTGCCTGGGAAAGAGGATTGCTGTAACTAGTGATGTTGTATCTACAGCAGAGGTCTCATTCTCGCGGCCCACGGGCCAATTGTGGCCCGCAGGACGATATCCTGTGGCCCCCACCGTGATATGAAAGTATAACATTTGAAGATATTTTTTTAACGTTTTTTGTGGAATCCCTTATGCGGCCAGACTCTGCCTCCAGCGGCCCCCAGGTAAATTGAGTTTGAGACCCCTGATCTACAGTATAATGAAGTTGTGAAGGCTAGCAACACCTTGAAGAAGATCAAGAGTATCACACAATTCAGATTGTGGAAAGTACTTATCCCACTCTACCCTGCCTTAGTCAGATCTCATGGAATATTGTGTTCTTTTCTTCTTTTTAAAAGGGGCATTGATAACCTGGAGTAAGTCCAGAGAAGGCCTACCATGATGATTAGAAATCAAAAGAGCAGTTAAAAAACTAGGTATGTTTAGATTGTAGAAAAGAAGGTTAAGAGGAGACATGATAGCTGTCTTCAAACAATTGAAGGACTATCAAAATGTAGAGGATTTGAGCTTATTCTCACTTTTTCCAGAAGATAAGACTAGAATGAATGGGATAAAACTTCAAGGAAGTAAGTGCAGATTAGATATGAGGAAGAACTTATTGATAGTCACAGCTACCAATCAGTGGATTGTTTCTTCACTGGATGTTGTCAAACAAAGAATGGACAGTCATCTATCAGGGATGGTATAGCGGAAAAGTGTACTATGCTTAAATTAAGTTGAACTAATTTTACTAGGTTAAAAATTGTTAGAAGCCACATCACGCAGTAAATCTCCGTAATAGCACTGTGTTAATATTTCAAGGTTGCTTCCAGATAGCATTAATTGATGCCACCCTAGCAAAGCCATCTTTTTTCAGCAAATTCAAAATATTCAGCTGTTTGGAAATAACCATTTTTCTCCAGCTTGTACATTTGTTTCAGAATATACCAATTTTGGAGTGACAAATGCTTACACATTGATGTCTACAAATCTTGCATACCTTCAGTCCTGGCCTTTCTGAACTCTTTTAGTTCCTGTATATGAAATGCAGCAACAATTAGTAGAATAATTGTATCCCTTGAGTTGGAAAAGAACATTTAGGCCATCATCCAAAACATTGCTTAGTGTAGAAGTAAAAATTAAAGCAATAGCACATTTATTTATAGAGATAGTTGAGACAAATAGTTATTCTCCCCCCATCAGAAACTAGCTCAACGAAGAGGAACCTGCAGTCTAGGGGACTATTTTGCTTCTCCCATTTGATTCAATGCAACTAAAAAGCTTTTCACTGCTGTTCTGATTCTTCTTAAATGTGGTTCTCAGTACTGCCAAAGCATGGGAGAATATATTACTATTTTTTTTTCTTCTCAGAGATTTTTCTTGCCTTTTTATGTAGCCAATCCTTTATGTAGTTCAATAGTCAATCCAGCTTTTGTTCACTTAATACTTTTTTTTAAGAAAGGAAAGAAATGGATATGAAATCATCTGCCAGGTTGGGATGGAGGGAATAACACATTATTATTTCATCCCTTTAAAAGTGCTTTGAAATTTTGTGAAAGTTCTCTTTCTCAAAGTATTCAATAACCTATCGGATGTTTTCTTTTTATCTTGCAGGCTAAATGATGGAATTTTTAACTGAACAGTTCTAATCCAAAGAACAGGAATCTCTTATCATCTCTCTTGCTTTCCACCTATGAAAGCCATGAAAAATACATAAACTTCTGTGGGTTCCCTTCCCAGTTCAGTCAGCCAGTATCAACAATGAACATTAACTATAATCTTAACTGCACCTTTAATGACAAACTAGATTCAAAATTATTTCCTTTTTTCTACAGCATCCTGATGATTATCAGCATTCCTGCTAATCTTTTATCACTTTACATTTCCTACTGTCAAATCCAGAAAAAAAATGAGCTGGGCATCTATCTCTTCTGTTTATCATTAGCTGACCTATTATACACAATGACGCTACCATTATGGATTTATTATGCTCAGAATGGGGATGACTGGACCTTTTCCCTACAGCTTTGCAGGCTATCTGCTTTTCTTCAATATCTAAATTATTACACCAGCTCAGGATTTCTTACTTGCATCTCCCTGGATAGGTATTTAGCCATAGTTCATCCTTTCAGGTTCCAGTCTCTGCGATCAAGAAAATATGCCTTGCTGATGTCCTTTTTAGTTTGGGCTTTTGAAATCATGTCAAACATTCAGATTTTATATAGAACTGACTTCTACTATGAAGTTGCAAATACAACCAGGCATATTTCATGCTATGACACATATCCTCTACAACAATGGCAAGCTTACTTCAATTATTATCGCATCTGTGTGGGATATTCATTCCCATTAGCTATCATGATCTTCTGTTACCTCAAAATATATCAGGCTGTAAAGCATAATCAAGCAACTCAAGACTGTGACAAGAAGAAAATCAATCATTTATTACTAGGCATCATCATAACGTTTTTTCTTTGCTTTACTCCATATCACATCATCCTACTTCTACGCAGTATCTTGGAGCCACAAAACTGTGATTTTACTTCATCTCTATTTGTACCTTATAGAATTACAACAGCCTTGACTAGCATAAATTGTATAGCTGACCCAATTCTTTATTGTTTTGTGAATGAAACTGGAAGAGCAGATATCTGGAACATATTCAAATGTGGTTTTTTCATCAACCGGACAGCAGAGCAATCCAGTGTTTCACAAAACAGAATCTGCAGGATTCATATAGCCCAAGAGCAAGTGGCTTGCGGTCTTCCAAGTGTTGCTGAACTACACTGGGAGATATGATTCACCCACATATGGAATGTTGAGCGGTTTCTGTCCTCGATATATCTTTAATGCCGCATTCTGCCAAAATAAAATGCGAGGAAAGTTTTGTTTGTCCTGACATCAACCAAGAGCCAGATCCATCTTCAGCTCAACACAAGGGCTGTTAATGAGGATTTGCAGCACATTTTTAAATTATTGAGTTCTCCCGAATTTTTTTTTCCTTTTCTGTTTTTCTCTCAGGAAGAAGGAATCTAAATCCGAAGAAAGACCCATTTTATCACCCATTGCAAATTTGTTAAAAACCATTGCAGAAATTGTACACTCAGCCTATATCTTTGGAATGGACTTATGGTTTGCATTTTTTTATGCTGTGAAAGTAAAGTATTTGGCTTTCAGAAAGGCTGGTTGTGTAAAATAATTATGGAATTAAATTGAAAGATATTACAATTTTCAACTATTTTGAGGCATAATCAGCTTTTCTAACCAGGGGACCACCAGACATTGTGGGCTACAATTGCTAAACTATCTCCTCAGGCAACTAATGGATATTCTGGGCTTATTGTTTGTTTGTTTAAATTTATACATCACCCAAGACACTAAGACTCCAACCAATTTACAGCTAAGAAATACTTCACACAAAACTGTCCTTGGTTTCCCCTTATCCCAATAAAATCTATAAAACCTAATTCATTTAAAATGAACAAAAATTTTCTTGCCCTCAATTAAAACCCTTATTAATAAAGTCCTGCTCGGGTTTGATAAACATTTCTCTCTAAAAGAGCCCAAATTCTTGGTCAGGCAACACTGGGAGTTTCAAAGAAACTGTTGACTAACTTCAGTCTGAATTCCACTATTTCCTTGGAATCTAAGAAGCTACAAGAGTTTATTTATAAATTGCACACTAGGAGAAACAGGAATCTGAAAGTAATAGCTTTTTACTTTGGTATGGCACCTGAAACTGGAGCAAGTATTTAATTAAAGCACCCTTCTATGAAGCTCACCAAATGGTTCCAGGTAGTCCTTAGATTATGAGCTCCTCAAATTCTAGCCATTGTAGCATCCCATGGTCATGTAGGTGATTAGCACCTCGGTCATAGTCTTGATGGTTGCAGCAACTCATAATCATGTGATCATCATTTATGACCTTCTCTGCCAGCTTCCTATGAGCCAAGTCAATGGGGAAGCCAGCAGGAGATTGCAAGTCATGTCAGTAAGTTGTTCCTGTTGCTTTTTTCCCCAAAGAGTTTCTGGGTGGTAGGGTGAATGTGCAACAGTGGTGGAATTCGAAACTTTTTACTACTGATTCTGTGGGCATGGCTTGGTGGGCATGGCATGGCTTGGTGGGCATGGCAGAAGAAGGATAGTGCAAAATCTCCATTCCCTTCCCATCTCACTAACCTACTTTCCAGCTCCATTCTCCTGTGCAGGGCAATGAAAGAAGACCCAGCCGATCAGCTGGGGCTTGGGAGGAAGAGGCAGATGGGGGAGGGGCCAGTCAGTGGTGGTATTTGCAGGTTCTCCAAACTACTCAAAATTTCTGCTACTGGTTCTCCAGAACTGGTCAGAACTTGCTGAATACCACCTCTGATGGGGAACCTGGGTAGGTGACTGCCTATCCACAATCATACTGGGAGAAAGCAGCTCATCTGCCCTCCTTTGGAAGCTGGTAGTAAGTCACAAGTAACAGTCACGTAAGACCTCCCTTAGCCACCCACAATTATCACTTAATGATGACAATAGGGATTTCCAGAATTTTTGTTAGTAAGTGGTGCAGTTATAGCATCACACTATTAAGTAAGCTTACCTATACAGTTCCCATAGCGATGCTTGAGAATCACTAAACCTCATTAAGGAAGGAAGGAAGGAAAGAAAGACTTCTAGTTACTGGTAGTCTTCACTTAGCAACTGCCTCCTTTATGTTGTAACCATTTGCAGTTACAATAGTGATGAAAAATTAACTTTGTAACCAAACATCATATTTACAACTTTGCAAGTTTGTAAACAAAGGAAAGCCGAATAAGGTCATAGTCCCAGTCATGGTTCCACTTAGCAAAAGTTTCACTTAATGACTGAGTTACCAGCCCAAATTGTGGTTAATGAATAGCAACAGCACTTAGACTTATATATGGCTTCACAGTGCCTTACAGCCCCCCTAAGAGGTTTACAAAGTCAGCATATTGCATATCCTTATTTTACCGGAAGGATGGAAGGCTGAGTCATCTTTCAGCTGGTGAGACTTGAACAACCAAACTGCTGTAAGCCAATAGTCAGCAGAAGTAACTTGCAATACTGCATTCTAACCACCATGGCTCCTGAGGACTATGTCTATTTGCATTGAGGATATATTTCATTAGTCTTTTTCTACCTATTATAGTTACAGCCTGGGAGAGATACTTTGAAACAGGAAGGACAAACTCTAAATTTCGTCTAGATGAATTAAAAAATGGCCTCCCTTGATCTGATTGAAATGAGGCCAGTTTAGTTTTATTTGCACTGCACAAAAGATCCATGTCAAAAAGATGGATCTAGGGTTAAAATCTCCTGCTTTTATTTTAAAATAAAAATGATTTATTGTTATATTAATATATTGTTTATTATGATCTATAGCTATCTACATTTAATAGACTTAAAACTAAATACATGTACAACATGCAAAACACATAGCCTGTCACTGTTAATTATAAACAATTGATATCAAGTTTTATGAATACAGCACAACAGCTTGGTATATTTTTCAGGGTTTCACAGCTGTTGTCTCATATAATTTCTAATATATTTGTTAAAATATATTAAAAATAGTTTTCACTTTTGACTTCATTTGAAAATGTACACATATCAAATTGCTTATCTGAGATCAATCAATTACTAAAAATTTAATAATTAAAGATTCAATAATCTTCCAGGGTACCTAAGAAGAAAGATATATTATTAAATAAACATTTCTTCAAGACTGATATGTGTTTAGAGAAATTCCCATATTACTATTTTTATTTTCTTTTTCAAAAAAGGCAATAAAATCAATAATAAAAAGTGCCTTCCAACCTCCATCACGCCATGCATAAATTAATATAGCAACTTTTTACTTTATTGTTTATTTATTTATTTACGAATAAAAACACTCTTCCCTTACAGTTTAATTTTTCTCTAAATGCAGTACAGAAATCATTTTTTTCAATCCTAGTTCAACAAAAGGTCCATTCAGAGTTAACAGAAATATCAAACAAATAATTTATACCTGGTCAAATAGTTCAATTTTTATCTTGTTTTTGCTCTGCACAGTCTTGATCTTTAAATTGTTCCTATTGATGTCAGAATTTGTTCATTCATTAACTCTTTGCATGGAAAAGGAGTCTTGAAAACTTTCACCATCTACTTTATGCCTCCCATTGATAAGACATGGCAATTTTTCGTTTAGTGGGACTGGCTGACTCCCCTAGCTCTCCTCTTTCAAGGCCGGATGTGCAGGAGAGGATGATTTGTGGATAAAGTTTTGGAACATTGATGGCTTAGGCAGAGCCAAATAAAGAATTAACATTTACTTCATGAAAGATACCGGCGGAAAAATTTTGAAACGTTGCTAAGTATGTTCTCATCTCAAATAACATTTGTGGGATAGTAGACTGATTAAAAGCTAATGAAATCCATTTTCAGTTTTCAATCCTTGGAAGACATTCAACAGCACATAAATCTGTTCTTTGACAGTGAAGAAATTGTCCTAGGGAAATTACAGTTACTCTCCTAGAATGCCGATGTTGAAACTGTTCAGGGAGATACAGAGAACAATTTGTTGTGTCTAAAGTAAATGAATTAACTTGCAGAGAATTACCTCTTTTGAATCGAAAGAGGCTTTAACCCTCTTATAGGCCCACAATTCTTTGCCTTGTCAGGGAATAAGAGTTAATTAATACAAACATTTGTCTGTTGCACAATTTGGTCAGTTTGTTTTACTTTAACGGCTTGCCCTTTATCAAAGTGCATGTCAGGAATATGTGATTTAGCTAGAGTGTCTCCATAAGGCTTAATGGAATTGGTAGGTCTGGCTTTGTATTTTTGTAACACTTCCAAGTACCAGTAGAACAGATTCCTGTTCCTAAAACTTTGGAGAGATGCTGCCAAGGTTTTTTTATTATTGTTATTGTTGTCGTCGTCATCATCATCATCATCTTATATGGAATTGACGTAAAGCAGTTTTCTTGCAGCAATAATAAAAGAATTCAATATTGTCACTTATTTCTAGAATGTGTGTGTGACTAAGGACTTGGTATGCTAGAATATTTACATTTTAGATTAGGTTAAGACACCCTAACCCTCATATTGCTTTCATAATAACCAAACTAATATTTGTAATATTATTACAGATTGTGTTTATTAATTAGATATTTCAAAGTAATTATTATAATTTAGAATTCATAAAAATTAAATCCATTAATTTTTCATTCAAATACCACAAACAACACATACTAGCATAAAAATGGCACAGATTAATTAGAGAAATATAGTTCAAAATAAATTATTATAATTTACAATTCACAAAAAACCCCAAGTCTCTTAATTATTCATTTAAGGTAATCATAAATAACTGCAGAGAACTGAGGCAACAAACACATACATTAAATTAATAGCTAAATTGCTTTCACTTTGTTCAGTCAACACAGCGTCACTCTCCTAAATTTAGTTTAGTTCAATTCAGAATAAATAAGCTGTTGTTATATTATATGGCTCCAAGGTTAGGTTTATGATCTACCTGGGTTTTCCAAGGATATGTGACTAGAGAAGATGATGTAAAGTTCAGCTATAACTTAAGATCATGATGTGCCAAAAATGAACTTAAGCAGAGGCTTTGAAGAACAAAAGCTAACTTTTATTGATCAATAAAAAGGTAAGACCTCTCCTTGCATACACACAGATATGTGAGGAAAGTAACACAGCACATGGACAAAAGTAACTCTTCTTATACCTTAAGATTCTTTTAGAAGTAGAGTAACTGCATTGTAAAACACTCTAATCCTTCCTGCAAAAAGACCAATGTCCTTCTGGCACTTGTTTATCTTTCATTATCCCTTCTCCTATTGTCTGTTAATTGATCACAATTGACCATTTAAGAGGGCTATTAACAGCATACTTCAAAAGGTGCATATTGCTCCAGATGTAGGGAGTTACTTCCCAGGGAGTACGTTCCATTCAGATTGATTTAGATGGGCTAATCATGTGCCTTCATATGAGAGAGATGTAACTAATTGCAAGCTAGTTTTACAACACGTAAAAGGTTAGAGAAATATTTTCCACAACAGCAAAATAAGAAATGCTTCTCTCTATATAAGAAAACAACAGCCTAACATCAAGATAAGACATGCCTATAGAGTAATGCTATAATATATTTTATTTATTTATTTATTTATTACCCTAACAATGGGACAAACAGCCCTGGTCAACAGCCAGGAAATAATTAGGGAGGCACACAAATCATTTTCAACTGAACACTCAGGTACTTTGC